TCCTTCCAGCTACCCTCCCAATACTTTTCTTTCCACTGATGTCCTTAACAATGGAGACTTCAACGGCATCCTGAGGCGCTGATATGATTCCACAACCGGCCGCTTTGACCTCCTCGACAACAACATTTCCCACGACGTCCTTTACAACGGTAACTTCAACAGCATCCTGTGGAAAAGTTCAATAATAATTTAATGACTCTCCTTCCAAAGCTTTGATATCGCTATAAGAAGATACGTTTTGTTCAAAAGACTCCTTATTGTCGTCCAGGACAAGGCTGATACTATAACATACCTGTGGTTCTAGGGCGGCGACAAGGTTCATCCCAGCCCGTTTCCCAATACTTCTTCCAGCTACCCTCCCAATACTTTTCTTTCCACTGATGTCCTTTACAACGGCAACTTCAACGGCATCCTGTGGTGCTGTCTTGATTCCACAACCTTTCACTCCACCCTTGATCTCTTCTACGACAACGACATTACCCACGGCATCTTTTACGATGGCAACTTCAACGGCATCCTGAAGAGAAGATCAATATTTAAAAGTTTCAATGGTTATCCATTAGCAATATATGGTTACATTCACGTGATGCTGATTTAATTCCACAACCGGCACCCTTGACCTCCTCGACAACAACTCTCCCAACTATAATAACACAGTGTCTCTCAGTTGGACTGACTGACTGTCTGAGTTTGGTTTTACGCCGCTTTTAGCATTATTCCAGCAACATCTCGGCGGGGGACACCAGAAAATGGGCTTCAAACATTGTACCCATGTGGGGATTCGAACCCGGGCGTGACGAGCCAACGCTTTAACCACTAGGCTACCCCATCTCAGTTGGAAATGCATAGTACTTTTTCATTCTAGAAGTGTAACTATTAGATCAATTTGGTAACAAAAGTCATGAATTTTTTTTCCCCAGCTCCACATTTTAAAAAAATACTTTCGACAAAAATGCAAATATTTAGCCTTAGAGATGGCTCGATGCCACTGTCAGACAACTGCACGTCTTCCTTATTAATGCCACGTGTGACTACGACTCGTAGTCTCGTACTGTCATCACCAGACAGAGTCAGTGGAAAACACGTTTTTACACGTCGGTAGTGGTATAAAACCGTAAACCGTCGTAAGATGATTGTATTACTCGTATTCAAATGTTTTCGAAATTGTCACATATGTAGTAACAACTACACGGACATGCGAGCGAGCGAGTGTGCGTGCATGCGTGCGTGCGTGCGTGCGTGCGTGCGTGCGTGCGTGCGTGCGTGTGTGTGTGTGTGTGTGTGTGTGTGTGTGTGTGTGTGTGTTTCTCGTGTATTTCTGGAGCAACATTTATTCTTGTTTATCAATCCTCCTCGTGTATAATTTAAGTATGTTTAAACCCTTCAATATCAACATTGGTCTGAATCCATCGTTAGTTATCCCAAACCCCGTTAACCCAGACGTTTCAAAATAGTTCCAATCAGTATCTGGTATAGGTATGTGGTCCTTAACAAAGAGCACAGATCACAGATAAGTTAAAGCAACGTTGAGTCTCTGGATGGGTGGCCATGTTTGGCAGCTTTAATTTAGTTTCTAGGACTTCTGTTCAGCCCCACAACGACGCATATGTAACACACGTGGTCTCACCTACAAAAAAATTGCCTCTGTTCATCCAGCAGTAAATGGGTACCCGGTGGGATGAGATGGTTATATGAGTGTTAACCTTCTTGATTGTAGTTCACACTGATTCATTGACCAAGTATATCATGCTTTGAGTTTACACCTTGTGTGTGGAGGTTAGTTCAATATAAGTACACACTTTCTTTGTATGTTATAATAGTTGTTATCACATACCTGGGGAGATGTAGCGTCTTCAAGAGCGTTGACTAGGGCTAACCCTGCCTGTTTCCCGATACTCCTCCCTGCTCGTCTGCCGATGCTCTTATTGCCGCTCATGTTGCTAGAACTTCACTTACCTACATGAGAAGAGGAATAGGGCTTTGATTGGTTTGTTGGGTTGTATTTCTGTTTGCAATGTAATCATTTGAATTCTGAAGGAATATGTGGGAGTCTGTCTCCTCTCAGAAATTCATTTACAGTCACGCCGATCAAATGATAATTTGAGGTCTGAAATTCTCTGCACGCCAGTATATATCAACATAGCATATTAACAAAACTATATTATGAATTAAACATTTAAATCACAGAACAAGACGTTTTAATACACTGAAAGTTATCGAAAAAACACATTTAAATTTGCAAAGAGAATTTGCATTTGAATGAAAAGTAAATTTCGAAAAATACCCTTAACAATAATGTGTGAAATATCTGACATCTTCTGTGTGGCAGCATCTTAGTGTGACATAAATAGAGATTATTACACGAGCAAATTATTATACGAAACGAATGTGAAATTGGGTAATGCCCGAGCGAGAGCGAGTGCAATACACAGTTTTGCACGAGTTTCGTATAAGTCGTGTGGCACACTTGCGAGTGTAATCATTTCTTTATTATCCATTTTATTCATGAACATTTGTGCAGTAAAACACGGTAAGCAAGTGTGACTGCTTGAGTGACGTCTTTGACGTCACGTGCAATTGCTTTGAGTGGTCACAGACGAAGTGAAATAGAAAACAGTGGTTGCTAGATATGATGTAAATGACACTGATTATGTTTCACCATATGGATAATAAAATACTGTTACTGCAGATTATACCTTTATCTTAGTGGATGATACTTTTAGAATTCGTTTATCTGCGCAGATGAAACTTTTCGAGTCCAGAGGTTACTTTGCAGTCAGTCCAGAGGTATGAAAACTCTCTGTGCAGACGATACCTTAGAGAAAACTTTTTCATCTGTGCAGACGATACTTTAGAGAAAACTTTCATCTGTTCAGACGATACTTTCATTTAGACGAACTTTAGAAAAATTTTCTTCCATCTTGCAGACGATACTTTCATCTGGAAAACTTTCATCTGCAGCAGACGATGCTTTGTAAATTCTTTCATCCACGTTCATACCTCAGAGAAAACTTTTTCATCTATGCAGACGATACTTCAGAGACAATTTGCATCTGTGCAGACGATACTTTAGAGAAAACTTTCATCTGTGCAGATGATACTTTACAATAGAAATACCATTTCAGCTGTGACGAAAAGTGTGTATGATGTTCTAGTTTAACGCCACACTTTAACTCACAGTTTGTTAATTAGTTAGTTAACTTCCGAACGTAACAATTGGTTAAGACAAACTGTAAATGGACAAAAAATCGGATCTTGAATTCGAACCCACAAACCAAGGTTCATGGTATATTGGACGAAAGTCTACAGAGCCCCGTGCCCTAGTCACGGATATTCCACGCCCATTGTATATCATGTAAAGATAGTCTGAGCACGCGTCATTAATAAAGTGCTGATTCAGCAAATGCCTATAGAATGCTAATGACATCGACATATTCATGAACAATATGTTGAGTTCTCTTATAAGGGTAATTGGCGTTGTTTCGTTCTGTGCAAAAATTATTTGTGAGAATATTTAGTTAGTTGGCGTTTCAAAACATTTCTTTCCTAGAAAGGGGGTACCAGACGATATTGGTGGAAGACCAAACACACATCTCATTACAGAAAACTCGGATCGGCGTGAACGATTTTTGTTTGAAAACATTGCCTATATATGTTCTTCCACCAGAGCTATTTGTTATAAAATATTAACAATACTTGACATGATTCATCGTTTATACAGAACCGGCACCAAACACAGTGGATATACATTAAATATTCTTCAACAACAACTACCACTTTCCTAGCTTTCCTTCTGATCAGGATAACAGCAACATGTTACATTACTTGTATTCATTTGAAGTTTAATACCGATACTATAAGTTGTTTTAATCCATATTCATAAACGTTGTCATTTTATCACTGGAAGAAATATCATTCACCGAAATTCCTGAAAAGATTTTTTCCCAAAGCACATTTTTTCGCTAAATCAGCAATTTTGTCTGCTATCGCACGAGATCATCTAAAATATCACGGGATATTATCAGATTTTGACTAATTGAAAATGCTCCCAAAAATGCCAACGACAATGTTCAAAGGCAATGGGAACTTAGCATAACGCACACAAATTGTTTAAAAAATATAAGTAAAATGTCATCGTGAAACAGACAGAAACTTTGAAATTTGAAAATCAGAATCAAAGTACATATAATTTTATGATTATACAGTTGTCATCGCCTCGTACAGCCTCCTACAGTAAACTACTCCGTAGCACCCCGTTTCTTGGTTTGCAGTTGCTTCATTCGGCTAACATCACTGGTGGAAACATTGCGTTTACGTTTTTCGACGGGTATAATGTCTCAGTTCGGCTCACAATTAAACAGCGACTCGGCAACGTTCGCGATGTTTACATTCCCACAATGCATTTAAGTTGTAGAATGAATGGATTCACGTGTTTGTTATGAATGAAAAAATAGTTACGTCAGAATGTGACCTAATTGAGAGGTCATCGGTTATCCAATCAAATCGTTAGAATCTCAGGTCAAGTCGCTACGACACTCGTGTGAGGTACGAGATTAGTATGCAACTACCCATACGTTGACCACGTGGGTAATAAACTTAATTATGTAGACAGAAGCCCGGTCAAAGCGATACGTTGAGTATTTTCTTAAATTAATAATCACATGCACAATCATGCCACTATCATCTATTTTGCCAAAATCAACTAAAAAATATAAAAGTTCAAACTACTGGTACAAGCTCAAGTGATAGGTCACCGTCTAAGCTCAATGTTACATACGGCTCAAATATTCATGGCCGTCCCCTTGTGTTTAAAAAATGGAAAAGGATTTATTTCATTGTCAGCTCTTCGGAACTGCCTGCTACATAGTGGTTTTACAATTCGGCATTCATTTCTCAATCATCTACTCCAGCGCCAACTGTTTACGGTGTCATATTTCGCTCGTTTTCCATGGGAAACAAATTAACAGGTCACCGATACAACAGAGTTACCTCCCTTACATTATTTCTCTTGCTGAAATGTTGAACTACAGGTAATCTGCAGGTGTCTGTTCAAAACTCTCAATACCTCAGTTCCGAAAGACCCTTTCGTACTGCTTGCTGTGTTACACATGGGGTTGATATGCTGACACATCACTTGCAATGTATCAATGAATGCATTCAGCTGCATGTATCTTGACCGAATACTGTAATTTGCACGTGGCGGCAATTTTGAACGTCACAAGCTAAACATATCTCAGTGCAATGAAATAACATACTTCAAAATCGTTGAAAACAGTTTTTACTGTATCACTTGTAATCTTTGCAAATGGATTACAAATTGCTGACTTATTTGAGACATGTCCCAGTTGTTCAGATCGATGCTCATGCTGTTGATCACTGGATTGTCTAGTCCAGTCTTCATTATTTACAGACCGCTGTCATATGGCTGGAATATTACTGAGTGTGATGTTAAACATCAAACAAACTTCTTGTTACTTTCTTGCACACTTTCAAGGACACTGGTTGATCAGTTAGTTATTTGTTATACAGAGCTTTATCTAAAGAATGTTTCACAGAGCTCTTTCTAAGATCTGTAATATACATCTGAACATCTTTATGAGTGACACATTGAAAAATATGACATTTTTTATCTTTGTACTTGTCCAAAATAGTCTGTTGACAAGTTTGATATGCAATTGTGTCTCGTCATGGCATCATTACATTCATTCAGAAATATTTTCTGAAATTTTGTGATTATCAGCATGAAAATAGCATAACATTTATAAAATGAATTATTATCTACGTACACTCATGATAACAATAACTTGTCATTTGAAACTTACAAACATATTACTCTTTTGAAAATGTATTCCAATACTTTTCAGAATATACAGTCATGTCAGCACAAGGATAAGAAGAGAGATGTCTGTTGTTCCAGAGAAGTACGTGTGAAGTGGCCGAGATCATGAGCTCTGTGAACATCGAGTCGCAGACATGCCCTCAGACGGAAGTGTCACCAAAGGTAGTTGTTAGGGATACATGATTCAACATTCACCATCCGTAGATGGAAACAATCAAGCGATCAAATGCAATTTTTCCTTATCTATATAACAATAACAAAAATTCCTCTTTCAGGTTTTCAACTGTCCTTAGATATAAAAAATATCTTAAATCAATACATTGTAAGATCCAAGTAATCAAAGACAATTTTCAATAATCAAACCCATAAGAATATTGTCCCCTCAAGTTTGCAACTGTTTGTATCTATAGAAAGAATATTATACCAATTATTGTGTTGGTGTTTTAAGACTGACAGTTTTGTTTTGTGAGATAAATTCATTGCTCACAAGTTAGTACTTTAGAGAGAGTGAAACCTGTGTTTTATTTTTCAAATAAAGTGCTGAAATATGTTTTTGTGTTGGTTGTCTTCAGTGCTCTTCATACTGAAAAACAGAACTATGTGATGCGAACTGGTCTATTCCAGTGTAAATAAGTGATGATGATTCAATTGTTAATCATGGTTTACAACCAATTCTCAGCACTATAAGGCACCACTGGTATTTGTGGCATGCTGTAGTAATGAAGTCCTGGGTCTGTATCCTGGATCTTTCTTATTTTTATCGTTACCATGGTTACTGTAGGGACTCAGTTTGTATTTAGTGGTATGATTCATTGAAGGGAGTGAGTGAGTTTAGTTTTACGCGCCACTCCAAATATTCCAGCTATATGGGGCGGTGGAGTAGCCTTGTGGTTAAAGCGATGGTTCGTCACGCCAAAGACCCAGGTTCGATATCATGGAGTCCCCCTAGCTACCATGATATTGCTGGAATATTGCTGACAGTGGCGTAAACTAAACTCACTCATTCATTGATAGAAAAATGAACTGTTTTGGTGGAATATAGCTCAATGTATCCAAGTTTAGCAAATGTATTCTGCAGCCATTTGTTCTCCTGCCCGTTTGTGTTTCTTCAGAGATTTATGGTTGTTCTGTGGTGTATGTTAACAGCCATAACTGAAGGTCCTTGGTTGTTTCGATATGGCACGTGCTGTGCGGCAGTGTTTAATTTACAACAAACTGTCAAGTAAATACATGGTTTAGTTTTCTTTTATTTATTCAACAAAGGGGTTGTGCATGTTATAATAAGTTGTTTGTCAAGTATCACACGACTAGAGAGTTAATAGAATGTTATCAACATAAGTGAGGAAAATATACTGAAATGTTGTGTATAAGATTCAAGTAAAAAAGTCGCTCAAATCTGCTTATAAAGATCTAATTTAATTTTAAACATTGTTTCCAAAATGTCTGCTTGCCAATGTTATTTGTATCATAATCATATAGATATTGTGTTTATTTGGGTAATACTTCTGTTGGTTACTTTGGGATATTAATGTTTTGTCAGCAAGAGAGATTGTCTGGTCAATAACAGAGGATTGTATTAATTCATTTGAACTTTATTAATTTAATATCGTAATCAAAATACGTAATTTTTTCAAGTAAATTATATGATAAGGCTGATATTTAGTTTTATTGAGAGAAATGCATTATTTATTTTCAGAGAAGTGTGGTGTGAAATAGTGCCTTTAACTTTATCTTAATTATGGACTGTAGGATGCCTTTAATATTGTTATAATTAGTTATAGTTTGGTTAAACTGACCAACATATCAATGATAACATGACGTTAACAGGATCGTGGGGTAGCCTAGTGGTTAAGCATTCGCTCATCACACCAAAGACCCTGGTTTGATTCCCCTCATGGCGGTGGTCTGTAAATAATCGAGTCTGGACCAGACAATCCAGTGATCAACATCATGATCATTGATCTACACAAGTTGGATGCGATAAAATGTGTCAACCAAGTCAGCCAGCCTGACCATCTGATCCTGGCCTCTTACAACAAGCATGGTTAACTGATGACCAGGTCTAACCTGGATCTTCACGGGTGCTCTAATTTTTCTGAGATGACTAAAATTAGAATGTGTCAATAGGAGTCTGTCCGAGTCATCATGCCCAAGTGATGTGGGCTGAAGTTTCTGCTGTTCGTATTATTGTCATGTTCTCATTGAACGGATACAAAACCACTCAGCTGTATTTGTACTCCTGGTGGACTTCTGGGATTTATCTGTCCATGTGCTGGCCAAGTGTGTCACATGGTGTCTAACCTCTGAACACCTATATGAGTCAAATACATAGTGGTAACCTAGTTCCTGCATTCAGTCAATAAGGCACCGACCCTTACATAGTCTTGGGTAAGTGGGATTCGGGTTACAGGTCGCACATATTCTTTCCTTACTTACCCGTGAAGATCCGGGTCAGAATTGATCTTTAGCAACCCATACTTGCAGGATCTGGTGGTCAGACTTCCTAATTGTGTAGTTTGATGCAAATGCTGTTGATCACTGGATTGTCTGATCCAGACTCAATTATTTAGACCGCTTCCATATAGCTAGAATATTGCTGAGTATGGCATTAAACAACAATCCAAATTTCCTTTCGTTATGATCTTTAGATGTATCAGGAAAACCTTTAATTTTTTTAAATACAAAACTATTAAGGAAAATCTGACTTTAATCTGCCTGGAGAATCTACTGTCAGTAGTTTTAGATAAGTGACGTCTTGAATGATGTTTTATTGTTAATACAAAATTTCAATATATATACAATATTTCTGTGCGTGCGTGCTCAAAGAGCTAAAACTTAATAGGAAAATATTGATTGTTTTTTAAGGTGCTTTACACCGATAGACTGTTTAATTTAGATTCAAAACACTTGCTTGAACATTGCACCAGCCATCAATATTTTGGTGGTTTATCACTGGCATAGAACAACATATTTTTCTGTGTAGGGTCAGTTGTTTGAGTGGGAACAAAAATATGATGACTTCATCACTTTCAGCTACTTCATCCAGAAATGTCAGTTCGACCAAATTGTACAAAGTGCTGCATTCAGAGCATGCCTTCATCGTGGTTGGGGAAACAGGTCAGGTGGGAGACTGTGTTTTATGTAAATGAAGCATGACGGCTCAATAATCCTCAGAGCGGGTTGGACCGGTGTATGTGATGTGAATATATTGTATCTGTTTATCAACACAGAAAAAAACAGGTCTGCAAATTCAAGCTGATTTGTGTGAAACCCCGACTCGTGTAAAATGTAATCAAAATGGAAAGGTGTATCGGTGGAAGTGCTTCTCTAGTACCTCTGTAAAGGATCTGCTGGTCTGTCTTGTGAGGCCCATGTCAACCGCTTCCCAACTATATGCCTACAGGCTGGCCATTGGTCACACCTAAATACCTCCAGAAATAATTTTAAAAATGCCCAAAGAAATTTTCCCGTAGTAGTAAAGACAACAAACTCTACATGAAATCAGCATTGAAAATAACGGCCATTCAGCTACTGATAATGGCACAACAGTTGACCAAAATGATGAGGGGTAGCAAAACAAGCTTTCCACATAATGGACAGTTGGTTTCCACAAGTTTGGGACCACAACTCTTTTCCCTCGGAAAGATCTTATTATTCGGAACTCTAGCACAGATACTAGGGCTGAGATGGGTACCCGGATACCCAGATACCCAGGACACGTGGGTTATGAATCGGACCCGAGTACTCATCTCAATGATCATGTGACTAATAGATTAAACAATGTAATAGGTTATTCTTTCTTGATTAAAAGCTTGTATTGTCTTTGAAAATTTAGACATAATTTCAGTCAATTGTTTGAATATAATACATGGTTAAGATATTGAAAAACTCGAAATTTTAGCCTCCGAGTTGAAGAATATATTGCCATTTCTTGTCAGGAATTAACATAACGGCTATCCGGGTAGGGTAGGGTAATAGGGGGTGGGGTACCTGGGTAGAAAATTTGGACCCGTCCCAGCCCTAACGGATACCCATAGTTCTACAGAAATGCAGGAGATGCAGACTATCCATGCTTTTGTTTACTCCATCCTGCCCCATTAGAGTATAACCCAGTGATTTTTTTTCTGCGGCCATTCTGTACATTTGTACATATTTGAAGCACATTTACATTTCACGTAAAACCAGTAAGCGGTCATAGTCAGTTACATTGAAATTCCACTGTCCACCAACAACATGGGGTTCATTTCCAGTCTACAGCCCAACAGATGAACAAAACTTTACATTTCTCACCGCCTGTTGAAAAAAGGGGCAGTGGGGTAGCCTAGAGGTTAAGGCATTCAATCGTCCTGGATTCGATTCCCCACATGGGTACAATATGTGAAGCCCATTTTTGATGTCCCCTGCAGTGATATTGCTGGAATATTGCTAAAAGCGGGATAAAACTAAACTCACTCACACTGTTGAAGAAGGAGGGGTACCACTGGTACATATATGCTATTCACTAAAGTTCTCCGCATTAGATGCAAATTGGCAGCGTCCAGACATCAGAAGACCAGCACAGCTCCAGACATAGTAGCAGTAGTAAAGAGTTCTAACCTTGAACACCAGAAGACTTGAGACGTCCTGATTTGTATCTGGAGGTGGTTCTGCAGCACCTGACCTTGGTTCCACGAGAACCAATAACAGAAGCAACCATAGTTTTACAGTAGCAAACATTCATGCTGGCCTGATTTCAGTACATTTTGAAAAAAAATCTCCAAAGAAGTCCTGGGACAAGAGAACACTAATGACAGCATGACTGTGTCTACAAGAACAGTGCTCAGTCCAGTCCACTTCAAAGTAGACCCCACCTCAACAGTCTGAAAATCTTTCATTTATTTTCCTTATCCTGACTCATGCTTATTGCTTGTCTCCCTTTCCTTCCAAATGCTAGTGGAACACTTGAATCCCCTTTTGAAGCTCCCTTCAAAAAAGCGGACGTAAAATCACTTACCAGGAGTCACCTCCCTTGCTAGGTTTTGGCGGGAAACGGTGCCACCTGTCTCCCATGCTCTTCACTCTCTCCTGATTTGCCCAAGTGGGCGGTTGTGAGAGCACCTGGTCCCCTATACGGCTTTATATCCTTTTATTATTTAGGCTTTTCTTCTAAATTAGCTGTATAA